GGTCAATAATAGATGATATTTTTGTGTTGCAGCATTTGATATAGAGAGAAAAAAGGGAAGGAGGAAAGACATATATTAATAATGTTTACAAATCTGAAGACAGCTTTTGATAATGTAGAGAGGAATATTCTATGGAAGGAACTAAAAAGAAGAGGAATAAAGTAGAATTTGATAAGGAGAATAGAGAAGATTTACGAGGAAATAGAAGTTATAAGAACGAGTCCTTATTATTTTTAGTATTATACGGAGAGCTTTAGGACGAAAAAAGAACGTAAGGCAAGGATGTATGATAAATTCACTCTTGTCCAACTTTAGGATAAAGCAGAAATAGAGAAAAAAAGTAATAGAGTAGTAGAGGGATAGAAGGAGTAAGAATAAGTAAGATAGGATATGAAATTTGGCATATGCAGATGATATAATATTGTTAGCAAACAATAGGAAAGCGATGCAGAATATGGAAACGTGTAAGAAATTTGTGAAAGAAAGAAAAATGGATCTATGTGCAGATAAAACTAAGATGTTAGTTTTCAATAGAAAAAGGAAATGAGAAGAAAGAGAAGTAAAAGTGGAGAGGCAAGGTAATAGAAGATGTTGTTGTACAGGAATTTAAGTATTTAGATTTCATGATAAGTAATAAAGATAAATATAAGGAACATATTCAAGAATGAGATGAAGAAGGACAGGATGGCGGCAAGGAAAGTTTGGAGATTAGGTGAGATAATATGTAGAAATGACTTTAGAAGATGGATTTTATTCAGGTATCTGGTATAAAGTGTAATGAAATACGGTGTGGAAATTTGGGGATGGGAAGAAAAAAAGGAATTAGAATATTATGTTAGATTAGTAAGGTGAATTTTTGGATTAGAGTTTTGCACAACACATATAATAACAAAGGAATTAAGGACAGATAAAATAAGAGTAGGATGGGAGAATAGTTATGGAAGGAAAAAAGAAATTATTACAATAGAAATGGTGATAGAGGCGATAAAGGGGAGAATGCTATTGTATGGGAGAATAATAGGAAATATCTGGAAATAGAATTATAATAATAAGAAATTAATAAAAAGGGAAAGAGACAGGTAAAGATAGAGAGAAAAGAGGAGGTGCCTGATGGTAAAGTATAACAGGAAATATAAGGGGATACGTCGGAAGAGAGAAGAACCTAGCTATCTGAGAAAGAAAAATTTAGAGAAAATAAATAAAGAGGATGAGGTAAAAGTACTGATAAAATTGAGATGTGGAAACCTAGAATAGGTTAACAAATATTAGTTGGAGGAGGACAATTACTATATATAATATTTTGTAGAGAGGGTATAAAGTGTTTGGAACATTATGTAAGAGAATGTCAAGAAATACAGGTTTGTGGAATTAGGAAAAGACGAGAATGAAATTATAGATAAGATGTGGGAAACTAATTTGAAAGAAAATACGATATTAAAAAAATTATGGAAGGAGAGGGAAAAAGAATTAAAGGAAGGGGAAAAGAAGAAGGAATAAAGGCAAAAAATAGGTAATGATATATGTCTAATAGCGTAGAAAGATGTAAATAGATAAGAATAGACATATATATAAATGTATCAAAATGGTTAACTATATAAATGTACAAGATATGTAATTGTATAAATAAGTTAAGATAAATGCGAATGTGTGTGTTGCTTCCGCGGTGGATTTTGGAACGCATACGTATACGTACGAGTGTGTTTGACGAGCTATACGAGATCTGGCCGTAAACCGTGATGATCGTCGTGAATTTCGGCGGTTTCTTTTGCGGCCGATAATGTTAGAGAGCTCTTTAACATTTCTACAAGATGAACGCGGAATAGATGCTCGGAGTGTTAATCGCCTTGACACTTAATATGATCGGCAGCGGCCGATCAAAGTGGAGAGCGTCCCACTACTGTCACGTTCGCTTCCACGGCAACGGTGAGATTGGAATTTGAATGGGTGGTGCAAGTACACACGGGGACAGGAATACCTATACCCATCTGAAGTTGCATACATATCGGGCATTTTCGGAACGCGTGCTTCTCTCCTAGATATACAACTTTAGATGAGTAGGCATTCCTGTCCCCATGTGTACACAAGATGTCACAAATGTCTATCCATTTGAACTTGCAGGAATACCGATCCATATATATATATATATATATATATATATATATATACTTCTCAACA